AGTTGGTGCCTTTCACTTTGGCGTTGACTTTTTAAATTCATAACTAAGGTGGAGCGAGGGATCGGGGTTTTGCTTTGTTGTCGCTCCACATACAAAATGTTCACTGCAAACTCGGGATGATTTAGGCAGTCAAAGGTTTCCTTTTTCGTTCTTCCTGTGTAACAGTATTGCCCATTGCCTTCGCCTTTCACTATTTTTCAATTCCGTTGGGAAGGGAAACAGTTTGAACGGAGGTTTGCAGTCACACACATCTCATTCCTTTTTGCAGTTATGAAGTTTATAAACAAATTTCTCTAGCCACTGTTAGGATCCAACAACCACACAATTACGATGTCCAAATCCCAAAACTAAAATATAACAATTTCAGAACCAGAAACAAAAGCGATATGGTTCAAAAGACTAGAAAAGATCGGCTTTGTCAATAGATGCATCCCACTGGGAAGACAAACATGTTTGTTTGATGCTCACTTTTTCAGAAAATTTTGCAAATCCTTCCCAGTATGCATTGTGCAATGACCATACGTCCGAAATTCGTGATGCATGTATTGGCCGACATCTTCCTGCCCCTTTTGTTGTGACGATGTTTACAGCAACGTCAGCTCTCATTGGGTATCACATTGTGATCGAATGTGTGTAGATTATATCTGAACTAGAATAAGCAGCCAATTTAACACATATCTGTAATCCAGAGTTCTCAGTTAAATGATTCGATGCTTTGAGGCAATTATAATTTTTTGAGTAGATCTTTAAATCTGTACTTGTAATTGATTATAGTTCTAGCCATGTCATTGTGATTGCTTTTACATTTTAAATCGAAGAGGTTACTGAATCCTGTACAAGTCCAAATTTTGCAATCGACAGCTGTCTCACTGCTGTATCTGATCCTTTCTAAAATTACCAGCTCACATAACCGCACTGCCCTGATTGCTCGGGGCTAGACAATATGCAGATTGCGGTTTGAAACAACTTCAGTTTCACACTTTTGATTGAGCAAGTTTTGCATAAAAGCGTGAGCTAAAATGCTTCTCAAAATGTATTTAAAGTAGTACAGTAAGTAGTAATCCTCATGTGCACTTTTTACTTTTTCTTAATTGCTATTTGGGCAGCAGTGTTTGAACTTTAATTGAGTATTATAGTGTTGTCATGGTACTGAAATTTACAAACTCAATTTTTACACTAAGGAACAGACTTGAAACAACTTTTTACACAATATAATGTGATTTTCAACATTAATTCATCATAGTAGTTTCTTTTTTATTATATACAGCTCAAGATTATTAACTTAAGATTTTCAGGAAAGCTTCATTTCTGTCCTCTGAATGTGACTTTAGTATCGATACCTGCTCAAATGAGTATCTACTGTTGTTTCAATACTAGATTTAGTATTAATTAGTATCAGATTTGTTTATTTTTGACAACAAGGTCTGGTTATCACAAAAAAGTTGCAGATTCGATACATACCTCAACACATAGACCACAATATGGTACGTTTTTCGATACAGTGCATTTTCGATTCAAATATATTCGATACCGTTCAATAAAAAGCAAAGGATAAATCGTGACTGTGATCCTAAAAGTCTTTCTTAATCCAAGTTAATATGGAAAACACATATTTTACTAAAAACTGTGAAAATGTCAATACACTTGTACAAATACAAACCCTGTTGAACCAAAAGTGCATTGTATCGAGATATGTATCATATCGCGGCCTATTTATCGAAGTATGTATCATATCGGCAACTTCTTAATGACACCCAGCCCTGTTTGGTATTACTCTGTGCTGTGTTGTTGATTTAGTGGCGTCAGACAAGAAAGCATCAGTCAGACATGCTCGGTTCACAAATGGAATCTAAATGGAATCTGCTTTGTTTGTCCTGGATCCACCAAGTTTGTACAAAGTTAATATGGAAAACACGTATTGACATTTTCACTTTTTCTGAGTAAAATCCAATTGTACAGGGCAGCCGCAGGATCTTAAAAGTCTGAAAAAGGTCTTAAATTTCATTTTCCTAAATTAAGGCTTTAAAAAGTCTTAAATTATGTTGTCCATGTCGTATTTTTTTCACAAACGTCTTAAATTTCATTAGCCTATTTTTTTTTGTAAACTCGGGCTGCAGTGCGATGTTAAATGGAGGGAGGGAAAAAAACAACGTGAACTCATGTAACGTGAATAAACGTGAGTATGTGCAAAAAATATTTGGTTTGTAGCACTGGCGGCAATGAGTAAACAATCAGTAGAGTGGAGGAAGACATTGGATGGATCATGGGGTAGTGTAAGTTTTCACCCGCACAATGGGTCTTAATTTTAATTTAAATGGTCTAAAAAAGGTCTTAAAAGAGTCTTAAATTTGGGGTAGTCAAACCTGGGGATACCCTGTTGTAGCTCTTAAACAAAATTTACTCAAATATACCTAAAAATACTCTTGGTGATGTATCAGCATCCCACGATATCGATACTGTGTCATCAAATTAAACGATAAGATATATAAATATGTCAGTATTTTTTCCTCTTTGTTAATATTTTATATTGTGATGTGTGAGCTACTGTGTCCAAATCATTTCCCTTGTGGATTATAAGGTTAGTCGAAGTCCAAGTCTAACCCTAGCACATTATTAACCATATAACCTTTCTTTGAGTACAGATATTCAGACCTCTTTCCACCTCCGTGTAATGGGTTCTTTGCAGCGTTCGGGGAGATAAGACTCTTTCTAGTGAGGAAACCTAAACGCCGCAGGTTTTGGGTCATCCATGTTTAACTTTTAATTGGTGAAGCTCAGGTGGCCGTGTAAGCAGATCTGCGTAGGAGGGGCCCGCTTTGTCACATGTTTAAACCCGCAAGTCCACAAGATATTAGGAAACGCACTGATTAATAAAAGTAAAGCAGCAGTAGAAGACTCTCTCGCCCTTTCTTCTAAAAGACCGCAGCATACTGATGGATATCAAAGTGAATGCACGCTGACATCTTGTGGGCACGTTGAGCAATTACACTGTGTCTGGCTGTGTAAAGTAGTCTTAAGTTATAGGAGATTTTACGCCTCTTGCAATAATGTTTTTATAATAGCGTTTTATTAATACAAAATTTGACCAGGGATTGTTCCAGTAAAAATAGAGAGGACAGAGAAGTTTTTTTTTTCAATCTATTTTTACTGCAGATAACAATTAGGGGTGTGTAAAAATATTGAAATATCCATATACTGCATTGTTTTATGTGATAATACAGTATTGATATCGTGGGCTGCTGTATCGATATATTGCCAAGTGTATATGTTAGGTATATTTGACTAAATTATTTTGTGTAAGAGCTACAATTGTGTTGTATTTTCACTGTTTTGAGTAAAATGGGCATTTTCCATATTAACATTGTACAAACTTAGTATCATGGGCTGCTGTATCGAGTATTTTTTGTGTATTTTACTGAATTACTTTGTTACAGTGCTACAGTTTTGTTGGAAAGGAAAGAAAGTCATTCATGCAATATATTACACATTTTCACTGTTTTGATGATTTTGATGATAAACAAATGTGTATTAGTTCAGTGTAGGTTACTTCTGATAGCAACAATTATTAATAAAGACATAATATACCTTTTTATAGAATTGGAAAATTAAAAAAACATCTAGGCACAATAAAGACTGACTAAAATAATCATTTGTTGCAACCCTATTAGCAAAGGACAACATATCCATTATGAAGATATACTGTATTAAATGGTCATTGAAATATTTTTTTTGAAAATTTGGAAGCAGATATTTTTGACTTCTTGCCCTCTCCACTAAAAAAGTAGATAATTCATGTTTTACACTTTGCTGAAGAAGTTTAGATGGGCATTGCTTGTCAAGGGTAACTCATTGAAAAAAAAGTTAATTTTGTTGTTCAAAATCAATTTTTTACTGCAGATAATAATTAGGGGTATGTACAAATATTGAAATATCGACATACTGCATTGTTTAATATGATGATACAGGATCGATATTGTGGGATAAGTGTATTTTTAGGTATATTTTACTAAATTGTGCTGCAATTGTGTTGACATTTTCACTGTTTTGAGTAAAATGGGCGTTTTCCATATTAACTTGGTACAAACTTAGTATCATGGGCTGCTGTATCGAGTACTTTTTGTATATTTTGCTAAATTATTTTGTTACAGTGCTACAGTTTTGTTGCTTGTTTTAGAGGAAAGAAGCTCTTTTATGCAACACATTTAACATTTTCACTGTTTTGATGATTAAAATGTTTGTGTTTCATATTCACTTTGCACAAAAAGACTTTTAGTATCACAGACATGATTTAGAAATTATTTTTATTGAACTGTATCGAAATATATCATATTGAGTCGAAAGTGCACTGTATCGAGATATGTATCGTATCATGGCCTGTGTATCGAGGTATGTATCGTATCAACAATGTCTTAATGATAACCAAACCTAATAATAATACTCAACTTGGAGAGAAAAATAGTACTGGTATTCTGACAAAAAAAACAAAAAAACAACAACAACAAAAAAAATATTATATCTCTTTTAAAGGAAGATATGTGTATTTGGAAGTTCAAGAATGTGAAAAATAAACATAAGGGCGGGTGGAACAACAAAATAATAATAATGGGTCAGTACGTTTATAATCTGTATTACTTTAACATTAGGCTCTCTGAAAATTTGCAAAAAAAATATGGTTAAAATGGAGATTTTTGTTGCAGTACAGTGAGTTCTTGGGTCTAGTCACTCATAAAAATGATCAGGTTCAACATTTGTGAATTTACCTTTTGAATATAGGGAAAACTGGCTCTTGTCCTTCATCTGGGAGTATGACATCCTCACAGTCTACAGTCTGAAAACCACAAATAGACCGTGAAAAAGTACAGCAGCATTAAAGTAGGCCTATAGTAGCAGTAGTAGTAGTGGTAGTAGTTCTAGTTTGCAGTATAAAGTAACATGTAACCCCCTTGTGGCCACATAGAGTTGTGCTCTTGTGTCTGACCTGTTTGTGTGCTTGTGTGCAGACTGTATGATGAACATCCACAAGCGCTGCGTGGCCAACGTGCCCAGCCTGTGCGGGACGGACCACACGGAGAGGAGAGGCCGCATCCACATCTCGGCGCAGATCAGCGGGGACAGCCTCACGGTCAAAAGTCAGTCACCATGGAAACCGTTCATTCACATTCAACGAAAACAAGCCATTTTATCATATGAAAGGGTCAAATATTACACTGTTTCCTGATCTGTGTTCAAAAACAGACCTGGAGTTGTGGTTTGTTTCACTCACACAAGTTTTTCTCTCAAATGGAAAACACTGTTCCACCTTGTGATGTTATGTGAGAATACATTTACTGCTCAGTTGTGTTTTTAAACTCCATACACCTTCACTAGAATCATTTGGATGATTTCGGTTCCATTTCCAGATTTCCATTTCCAGATTTCCAGTCTCTATTACCATTACTATTTCTCTACTAAAGGTAAAAGGAGCTGTTAATTTGAAAACTACTGCTTCATGACATCACTGGGTGGAACAAAGCATTCTGAGCTTTGGATATGTAGGCAGACTAATATTAAAGCGTTACTCAAACATGTGTGAATGAAACAATACACAACTCCAAGTATGTTTTGAGGTGATAACAACATTCTAATATGGCTTTTAGCTCACAAAACTCAATTTTTCATAAAGGAACACAAGGAAACAACATTATAACATAGATCAGAACACAGCGTAATATATTCCTTTTAAAGTCAAATAAAAATTCAAAAATATATCTTGACCAACTTGACCACTACCAAACCTTGATATATTTTATAAGCTATTCATTATTCCTGTAAAAAAAAGCTGTGCCAAATATCAGTGCTCTCCACGTGCTTGCATATTGCCAGGTCACACCAGGCTCTGTATCAGCCCCAAACCCAAAGTGGAAATTCCATTATGAGATCGAAGAACCACCGATCAGCCCACATCTGCGCCGGGGCCATGGACACGTGTTCCCACCACTTTAGATTGATTATGGAGCCCTGCCACTAAACTGTTGTTAAGTGTTGTCAAATGTACGCAAGCAGGCTACTTCATTTTGGGCAGCACAGCACAGCACCCATTGGCTTTGATTCATTAGGTTTTTAGGATACATTTGAAATAGTCACTGACGTTTATGGGTAGTGTAAATGTTATCTTGACATGTAATTGGCTGCAATGATTAATTGGTATATCTGTGTCTGTGTAATCCTTCAGTCGTCCAAATTAAGATCTCAACAGGATCCAAAATACACACAATACAAATCTCCCTGTTTTCAGCCGTACGTGATTGACAGGTGGATTGACCAATCAGGGACATGCAAAACTGAAAAAACATGACATATTTCTGCAGAATCAAAGAGCAAAGCATTAAATACTGTTCTTGATTTTATTTGTAAATCATAGGTGACCAATGAGTTCCTTCGTTTCATATGCATCACCAAAAATAAGTGTGTGGGGACCGGACTGATATCAATCTGTATAAAAAAAAAATATATCATTGTAGAGTTCCAGGCAAGGTAAGGTAATGGCAAAAGAAAATTCAGTTGTCAACTGGGCAAAATTTTCAGAGTGAAGATGTTTCTCAGTTCATCCAAGCTGCTTCTTCAGTTGTGGGCAGATGCTGGTGGATACTGCCTTATATTTGCCTGCAGGGAGGAGCTAACGACACTGAAACTACTCTGAAACTACCTATTTGTTTACAGGTTCTGTTTGTTATAGCTACTACATTAAATGTGAACTGTCCCTGAGTCATAGTTTACAGTAGAGGCCTGAATGATTATGTAAAGTATGACTCAGGGACAGTTCACACTTACCTACTTAACTAACACAAACTGTAAACAAATGTGTGTTACATAATATACGTTTTTGTAGAATTGGCAAATTTAAAAAACATCTAGGCACAATAAAGACCAACTAAAATAATAATTTGTTGCAACCCTATTAGCAAAGGACAACATATCCAATATGAAGCTATACTGTATTAAATTGTCATTGAAATTTTTTTTTTTTTTTTTTGAAAATTTGGAAGCAGATATTTTTGGCTTATTTGCTCTCACTACTTAAAAAGTAGTTAATATTTTATACTTTTGCTAAAGAAGTTTAGATGGGCACTGCTTCTCAGAGATAACTTTTCTTATTCTTTTTTTTTTTATGGTATTGCTGTAGCTCATTGAAAAAAACTGATAACTTTACTGTTGTTCTTTGTGAATTTTCCCTTCAGTTATGGACGCAAAGAACTTGGTGCCTATGGACCCTAACGGCCTGTCAGACCCCTATGTGAAGCTGAAGCTGATCCCAGACCCCAAGAGTGAGAGCAAGCAGAAGACCCGCACCATCAAGTGCTGCCTCAACCCCGTGTGGAACGAGACCTTTAGTTTGTAAGCCTCACCTTTCGTGTGTGTTCTGTTACCACAACATTCTATAGCAGATTTTAAACTCATTGTAACATACTAACAACTATTGTCATTTATATAAATTTATTTGTGAGCTTTAAGCCGTGTTATAATGCTGTTGCCTCCTAAAAAACAGACCTGGAGTTGTGTTTCATTCACACATGTTTGAGTAACCCTGGATTATTGGGCTGTCTGCATCCCCAAAGCTCAAAATGCTCTGTTCCACCTTGTGATGTCATGTAATAGTAGTTTCAAGTTAATAGCTACCGTCTGAGCTTTGGAGATATAGACAGACTAATAATAAATGGTTACTCAAACATGTGTGAATGAAACAAACAAAACACAACTCCAGGTTTGTTTTTGATGAGGTAACAACATTATAACATGACTTAAAACACACAATGATCAATTTTGTGTAACATAGGACATTTAACCAGTCTTCAGTGCTGCTGGAGATAGACAGATGGACAGACACAGCCATTTTCATACACACCCCAGTAACGTCACTACTTACGCATGTAGTAAATAATATATTCTGATTTCTATTCACTTTTTACACATGAAGAAGGCTACAGTTCTGTGTGAGACTCCAAAGCCTGTAGGACAGAGTGAATCTAACAGCTTGTGTACTGTTGTTGTTCCTCAGCACTCTGAAGGAGAGTGACAAAGACCGGCGCCTGTCTGTGGAGGTGTGGGACTGGGACCTCACCAGCCGCAACGACTTCATGGGCTCCCTCTCGTTTGGCATCTCCGAGCTGCAGAAACAAGAGATAGATGGATGGTAGTGTATGGGGCATAACGCGATGGGTGTTGGAAGCGGATGTTAGGCATGGGCCATATGGAGCTCAACAGTGACCCCTCCTGCCCGTGACCGCCCACCCTTCCCAGTTCCGGAAATACATTTCTCATTCATTTTTCCCATAGACTTTCTGAAAAAATGCATATAAAAAAATGTCTCTGTAGTAACTCATGATCAGAAGACCTATCATTTAAAAAAGAATCTTTTTCTGACATTTTATAACCCGCCAAATTATTAAAGCATTCGACTAATCTTGTGTTTTAAATGTGCTTTTTGAGGCTTAAAATAACTGTATTATGGATATTAGTTACCAAGTAGTAGAACTCTTTGAAATTTTGAAACGTCTATTGCAAAAATGAATGTAGAGTACTTCCAGAACTGAAGTAGGAGGTCACTGTTGAGCACCATAGCAGTTCTAGTATCGTATTCCAAAAAAAAAATAAAAAAATCTTTGGTTCTTTTTAAAGACCATACAGTAGGAGAAGTATTCACCTTGTTGATGTGTTTCGACTGTAAGCCATCTTCAGACAGTGACAGTTCTGAAGATGGCTTGCAGCATTGCAGAAACAAGGTAAATGTATCTCCTACTTTATTATCCTTAAAAAGAACCCAAGAAATTCCCTGAGTGCCCTTTTAGAACAGGCTAATGAGTAAAAATGGCTGTTATATGGCTGCATTTTTACACAAACATGTTAACACATTTTTTAAAAATGTTAATAAAATACATTTTGTTATTATTTACAAAAGTGCTAAGTTCATTTGTGATCATAACTTTAGATGCTTTTGTGGGCCTTGTTATGGATTTTATAAAGCTAAATATTGGGATTGGCAAAGATAATTTATTGGGGACAATAAGCAGGCCAGATATTGGGTATATTGGTATCAGCCTGCCCCTAGTGGATATCTGTAGAGGCAACCCTGCTTCGATATTTGATGACATAATGTGGAATTTTCCCAGGCAAAGTAAGAACTTTTCCATGGAGATGAGCAGGTGGTAGACACTCCAGCAGAAAAGTTACATGGTGCCCCTTCAAATATCCACAAGGGGTGGGCTGATACCAATATACCCAATATCTGGCCTGCTTTTGTGGGCCTTGTTATGGATTTTATAAAGCTAAATATTGGGATTGGCACAGATAATTTATTGGGCACAATAAGCAGGCCAGATTAAGTTCATTACTTTGCATGGGAAAATTCCACATTATGTCATCAAATAGCCAAGCAGGGTTGCCTCTACAGATACTAAAACTTGTATCGAAATTAGATTCTCATTTGAGCAAGTATCAATACTAAAAAAGTCACATTGACGGGACAGAAATTAACCTTTCCTGAGTAGCTTTAGAATGATCTTGAGCTGTATCAGAACAAGTTTAAGAGCACATAGTATATGCCAATGAACCATTATTACCTGGAGTCTGAAGTTTTTGCATTTGGTAACATTAGTTTTAGATCAACACTGCGGTTTACAATTAAGAAAATGTACTGCATGAGCTGCATGTGTGATAATGTATTACTAAATACCAGAAAACTGTAAAATGCATCTCCTTTAAGAGTCTAAATGTTCTAGTGTGTTTGTAATTCCTGGATTAGTTGTAACAAAGCGTTCCTCTGATCCTGACTTAGGTATAAGCTTTTGGCCCAGGAGGAAGGAGAATACTTCAATGTCCCGGTGCAGCCAGATGGAGAGGATGGAAATGAGGAGCTCCGACAGAAATTTGAGGTAACACCGGTACTGTGCTAAATTCACTTCGGAAATGTCAATGGAACAAGTACGAGTAACATTACTTCAAAGTAATCTTGCTCAAGTAGAAGTATAAAGTAGCAGTCCTTGAAATTGTATTTGGAAAAACTCCCAAACTGTATCTTGAAAATTAACTGTCAGGACATAAAATCTAATTTATAAATGACAGCTGATGTAATTTAGACAAAATATTAAATGACAATAATAATTCAAATCTGGTATTTTCAGAAAGAAAGACACAAAGACGAGAAAAACAATCAAACAAATCTGAAGAAGCTAGAAATATTGTCAACATAAAGCTTTTGTTACTTTAGACTTGCTCACAGTGAGAAGAGTAACCTAAACTTTTACTCAAGACTACAGCTACTTCAGTAAAAATATTACTCAAGTAGGAGTAAAAGTATACTGCTAGAAATATACTTTAAAAACAACAATTTCGGTAAAAACTTAGTTAATTAAATGGAAGCGAGTAAGTGTAACTAACTACTCACCTCTGATTGTTGAATGGACTTGATTTGACTGGACTTGTTTGTGTGTTCGTGGCAGAGGTGGAAGGTGGGCCCGGGAAAGCCTGCAGACTCCTCCTCCTCTTCTTCGATCTGCAAATACGACAGCAACGGCAACCAGGACCGAGTCAAGCTGTCAGACTTCAACTTCATCATGGTCCTGGGAAAGGGCAGCTTCGGAAAGGTGCTGCTTTTGAATCCAATTCAGATAGGGCAAATATTAGGCTATTTTCTGATCGATGTTATAATGTTGATTGCTCATCACACACAGACCTGGAGTTGTGTTTTGTTTCATTCACTGCACATTTTGGAGTTTGAGTTCTTTCCTGAAACAGAAAACACTTTTTTAAACTCCATACACCTTCACTAGAATCATTTTGTTCATTTCAGTCCTGGAATTGCCATTCTCAACCAAATAAAAAGGTAAAAGGAGCTGGTAACATGAAAACTACACTACCACTTCATGACATCACAAGACAGAACAGAGCATTTTGAGTACTGGAGATGCAAATAGACCAATAATAAAAGGTTACTCAATCATGTGTGAAACAAAACACAACTCCAGGTATGTTTTGAGGATGTAACAACATTATAACATGGCTTAGAGCTCACAAGAGTCAAATTTCTGCAATAGACGACCTTTAAGTGTGTTTAGTCAAATGAGTACCGTATTTTCCACACTATAGGGCACTCTGGATTATAAGGCGCACTGTCATTGAATGTTCTATTTCACATATAAACCGCACCGAACTATAAGGCGCATTAAATGAAACACAACAGTTAGATAAGTCAGTCCAACTTTATTTAATGTGTTCACAATAACTCTCAACTTTGTTCAGTTGTAATGCGTAAAAAAAAATACTGTCTGAAAGCTTTAAATTGTTTGCGTATTCACAATAACTCATAATTCTTCAAACAGTTGGGCAATTACGGCATCCAGCACGCCCACATCCCTCTCGTCATTATCCGAGTCAGTGTGGTTACTGTTACCTGGCAGTTCAGTGATGATTGCGGTCTTTGTGAAAGTTCGGACCACAGTTGATACTGATCCTTAGTCCACGATCCATTGGCAGATCGTAGCGTAAGTCGCTCGGCGCTGTCTCCCTGTTTTGGTGAATGTGTGTTCGCCTTCTATCATCTATCAGCAGCTTTGAGTTTAAAGTGGGTGTTGTAAGCGTGTCTCTTGACAGGTGCATTTTGATATTAAAAGGAATCACAGGATGTATTACTCCTGATGCTCCTGACTACGGGAGCCGTAATGCTGCAAGTGGTGTGGCTTTGTAGTTTACTAAAGTCGTACTAAGACGCCTCAATAAATTCATATATAAGGATAAGGCTCTGGATTATAAGGCGCGCAGTCGTTTTTTGATTAAATTAAAGGCTTTTAAGTGCGCCCTATAGTGCGGAAAATACGGTAGTCTAACCTGTTATACGCACATGTGCTCTTGGATCATTAACTCCATGGTCATGTCATGTTGCTTGTACTGTATGAGGAGCTGTTCGCAGGCGTGTAAAACAGCACTGAAAGCTGTTGAATCACTAAATGTGCAGTTAAGATTCATGATAAGAAACCCCAACAGTATCACCACTGTCCCATTCTTGTAAAATACAGTTTATTACATTTTGAAAATCTAATGATATATGCAAAAACATCTCAAATAACATGCTCATCCTCCAGAGAAGAGAGCACTATCCCCAAATGTAAGACCGCACTCACCAAATCCCCTTTTTCCTCTGTCGCTGTGAGTCATTGGAATAAATCGCCAACAGAGACTCTAATCTGCACAGGTTTTCAAATGTTTGCACGTCTGACAAAGCGATCTCTAAAACAAGTTTGTACACATTATGGATGAGTGTACAATGTGTGTGTGTGCAAATGTTGTTTAGAATAATATTTCAACACTGTAACTTTAAGTAATATCTGTTTTAATTTATTTTTGGTCAATTTACTTATATACACTGAATCTGTCTTTTAGTATTTTCACTCAGGGACTACAGGTGTAAATTAGGATTCATGCTATAACCTGCACCAGCATCTTTCCTATCACTTCTGTCTTGGTTAATGTATTGTTGTGCACTGTCCCTCTCTGTCCACAGGTGATGCTAGCAGAGAGGAAGGGCACAGACGAGTTGTACGCCATAAAGATCCTAAAGAAGGACGTGGTGATCCAGGACGACGACGTGGAGTGCACTATGGTGGAGAAGAGGGTGCTGGCACTATCTGGAAAGCCACCCTTTCTCACACAGCTTCACTCCTGCTTCCAAACCATGGTAACATTCATTTATTACACACTTCACTAACAATTGATGCTTTGCAGTGGTATCACGCTGGGGGTGCTCTACGCGTATCTCTATGGCGGAATGTTCAGCACTTACCGAGGAGCAAGCAAATAATAAGAAAAGACTGTCAAAAAAGTTTAAAGAGTCTGATCAGTACAAGCGTTCATGGTCCTTTACAGTATCCATCAGCACTTCCATAGTTTTGACTATTTTTGTTTTATTATTTGATTAGTCCACTGTGTTTGTTTGGGGTTTTTTTTATAAAAAAAATGTGGAACCAGTCCAAAATACTTTGAAACAAACCTAAAATTCTTAACCCACTAACTAAATCTAAACTGTCAAAATTACCCAAATGAACAAAATATTTTAAATTCATGCCATTTAATCTGAACATTTTTTCAATCTTCTTCTACGTTTGTGATAGCCAATGTACATTTCCTCTCTACCTCAAATTGAATTCATGGTCTAAGCTTTTAACCACTTTTATATTGTCTTCTCATCAAAAACATACCTGGAGTTGTATTATATGTAGATTTTATTAATCCAAGTCTCAAAAACAAAACAAAAAATGGGCGTTTTGTTGTGTCACAGGTAAAATTACAGACTTCTTCCGCACAGTTTTAAAGTTTTTTTTTAGCATAGTATTCACGTGGCCTGTCTTTTTTTAAAATTTGAATAAACAGGGACATTTGAAAACAGTTGGAAATATCTTGAGGGAAAAAAAAACTCTTAACCTGCTAACTAAACCTTAACTGTCAAAATTTCAAAAACGAAAAAATTATCCCAATTCATGCCATTTCATTAACTTTTTTCTGTTCTTTTTTTTAATGATTTGAAGTTCAATACAAAACGTGACAGTGACTTAACTGAAAAACTGCTGGTAAATGCTAGTTAGGTTGTATATGTAATTTTATGTACAAGAGACTTGTTTAAGATCACAATCTCAACTGTTGTAGTTCCAACTAAATCAACTCTTTCTGGTTAGACAGTGTTAAGTGCAAGGCTCAGATTAGCAGCACAACCACAGAGGATCAGATGCAAAATATCAACAGAAACACTGCCAAATCTGATCTGTAATCAACTAAAGACCTGTCCTGCCAGTTGATTAGTCAACTTAAAAGGGGTCATGGCAAAAGCTCTCAAAACTGTGATGTATCTCTGTGTGTCTGACTAAAACTGCACTCACAAGACTATATAGTGCCTGGGAGTTCATGCAAAAACTACTATTTATGCAGAAAAAAGCACTAGAAGGCAGTGTATTCATCTAAGGCAGGGGTGTCAAACATACGGCCCGGGGGCCAGATCCGGCCCTCCAAGACCTTTAATCTGGCCCTTGGCTGATTTTCTACTAAAATATTTTAATTATATTTTAAAACCTCAAGACAGAATTTGCAATTTTTCTCATACCATTCACAGTCAAAACCTCTGATGTGCCCACAGACATGCAACTAGAAATAATAGATTTACAGTTACTACCTTTGTGAGCAGGTTTTCTCAGTAATGAACATTAATAAAACAAAGCTGTGCTCAAAACTAACACACAACACACAAGCACTTGAATGACATTGTGAAGACAGCAGCTACTCAGGACATGGTGCTTGATGTTGATGCACTTGTGCAGGCTAAAAGATGCCAAGTTTCAGGAGCAAAAAGAAAGCATGACTAAATTCTATGAAATGCACACAAGTTCATGTTGAAATTGCATTTTTCTTAAAGTTTCAGGTTGTTCATAATATTATAATATTTTGTAAAAGAAAGAGTTCATCAATTAAAAAAGATTTCTGTAATAGATTTGTATTTCTCTGCACAAATATTTGAACTTAATGTTTTTTGGGGGGGTTTATATGACATGGTTTTCTGATCCGGCCCCTTTTGGGATCAAAGTAGGTTGGATATGGCCCCCGGACCAAAATGAGTTTGACACCCCTGGTCTAATGTATTATTTTTACATGTACAAAAAACTCACTCACTTCTCCTTTTTGAAGCTAAATACTTTTTTTTCTAACTTCAAGGGAAAAATATTGGTGGAGTAAGTAACAGACAATAAACTGCAGTTTCCCACAGTGTTTCATTCTGCAATTCTATATTGTGCTCATGTTTTTAGACTAGTTTTTTTGGATAATCCTGCTTTAGAGTTGTTGTGTTAGTGACCTAAATTAGTTTCAACTCTATCGTTAATATTTCTTTCTTCAATATATCGCACTTCAAAATGTATTATTGTCACAACCCTAGGAAGGAGACTTTTAGTGATTTTGAGACTGATAATGCTCCTCTTTTCTGCCATGTTCCAGGACAGATTGTATTTTGTGATGGAGTACATAAATGGAGGAGACCTCATGTACCACATTCAGCTGGTCGGCAAGTTCAAGGAGCCTCACGCTGTGTAAGAACTAGAACTACAGCTCACTGTCCTGTTACGACACTGGCAAAGAACTAACAAGCATGTGTGTTTTGGTTTTGTGCTCCAAAGGTTTTATGCGGCCGAGATTGCCATTGGACTTTTCTTCCTTCACTCCAAAAACATTGTGTATCGGTGAGTTAATAAAGAGTTAAATTTTTTTTTTGGTCACAGGTATATTTGAACATTATTCCAGAAACAGTAAAGTTTAACATGCAACAAGACCGAAAAGGTGTAGACTTAAAACATATTGTGCTTGTGTCTGAATGTATGGCACACTTGCGGATCATTATGTTAGAATTTGCATGTTTTAAATCACAATATTCATCTAAAATGACTTAATGAAAGAAACAGGTCCACTGACTTCTGCGTTAGAAAACTATTGTGCCTAATGGGAACAGACGTTGTCTAAAAGTCATTACAACAAAGAGCTGCACAGCTGTCGGCGTATAGTGGATTTTTTTGACTCCGCGGTGCTGCTGAATCGTCTGTGTATCAAAGATTAAGAAAATTAAATTGGAGAACGAAGTTAATTGGCAATATGCCGTCTTGAAAATAAGCAATTAAAGATCGCTCAAACATGCATGAGTCACTCCAAATTCAGCTTTTGGTAAGTAAATGGTAAGTGGAAACAACTATAAAATGGTTAAACGCTCTGAAAAGTAGATTTTGCATAATAGGTCTATTTTCAGCTTCTTGGCCTTATATTATATATTATATTATATCTTTGGTATCATAGAATAATATTGCTTTCTTCCTGTAAATATTCACTGGCATCAAAAGAAAACTACCATATTTTCCAGGCTATTGGGTGAGCTCTTAAGCCTCCAACCCCTTCCAAATTACCCTTGGACTACAATCTGATAACATATTTACATATCATGTATATGTTCATTAATGTGTTTTGTCCCTGTTTCAAATAAATAAATTCAATTCAGTTCAATTAAATCCCATCAAAAAAATGACTGCGCACCCCACAGTCCAGAGCACGCTATACACGAATCCACTCAGGTGTCCCAGCATGACTTCAGTACTGCGAACACGCCGACAATCCGTTGGTCCCAGACAGCACCCTCCCTACACGCCACAACTGAACAAAGCCCAGAGTCACTGTGAACACCACAAACAAAGTCCCACTGAACCATCCAACTGTTGTGTTTCCTTTAAAGTTCGGTGCGGTTTATTTGTGAAAAAAATTCGAAAATAGACCATTTAATGACAGTGCGCCTTACAGAGCGTCTAATAGCCCAGGCCCCGTTAGTACTTGGATGGGAGACCACTGGGAAAATCAGGTGCCACAGTGCGTCGCCAGTCACAAAAACTGTCGTGTCCTTAGGCAAGACACTTCTCCTGCTTTACCTAGTATGAACATGGTGTGTGCGTGAGAGTTGCTGGCTTCTGTTCTGCATTTTATTATATATTTATTTATTTTTTAAGTAGAATTTCAATGTTTGTTCTGATTTTCTTTTTTAATAAACACCATTGTTCATCTAAGAGCAAATTGGCTAGGTCCACAAAATCACTGAATTTCAGAGTTTGAAGGTTTATAATAATGAACTGGCAGCCTTGTTGTCACACACTTGCTTATTTTTTTGCAAACTGTATGTTGGTTATGTGTTTGTCTTATATCCACAGTGATCTGAAGCTGGACAACGTGATGCTGGACTCGGAGGGCCACATAAAGATCGCAGACTTCGGAATGTGCAAAGAGAACATGTACGACGGAGAGACCACCAAGACCTTCTGTGGAACGCCGGACTACATCGCTCCTGAAGTACGAGGAGACAGGGCAAAAAATACAATCAATCATACGGAGAAAAAATATGAATGACATTTTTTATCATTTCAATTTCATCACAATTAATGAACATGAAGAGTTTACATCCCTAAGTAGAAACCAGAGCTATTTGTGAAAAACCATACCTATTGTGATTTGACCTATAGGAGGAGTGGTCCATATCACCATTCTATTTGGTATTTTATTCGGCCAGTGCAAGAGTGCAAATCCAATTCCTTTTTTTTTTTTCTTACAAGGCCATTTTACGTTGTGTTTGTCTCCACGAGCAGTACTTGAAATTTAAAGTACCGATTTGTGTGGTTGGTTTGAATGAGAAAATTCTGTTTCCCCCAAGAAAGCATAGTATCGCAAAAGCCGAGGTACAGTAGCTGCTTTCATAGTGAGAAAACATTTTATTTATTATAAACTTGAGCCATATATGACTCTTTGGGATGACTGATTGACTGTGCAAACCATTTTTTATACCAGTACATTTCTTACAGCCCTATTAAATGGTGCGACCAAAACACTTAATCATTTGTTTTTTTGTTGTATTTTTTTAAACATTGACTTAATATTTGTTGCAGATTATTGCCTACCAGCCATATGGGAAGTCGGTGGACTGGTGGGCGTATGGAGTGCTACTCTATGAAATGCTGGCAGGGCAGGTCTGTATCAACACACTCTTGATTTCGCAATGAATCACAGACCATTGACAACAAACGCTAGCACAGTTTAACCTCTCCTCTGCATTCCACCCACAAGCAGCATTTGAATTTGAAAAAGTCACAAAATAAAGTATTAAAATAATAACAGCATGTAGCACCAGACAAGAGCAATATTGACAAAAAGATGCCTCTGAAAAGGATGGGTTTTTCTTCTCCTTATGAACTTTTCCTCCGCAGCCTCCGTTCGATGGAGAAGATGAGGACGAACTGTTTCAGTCCATCATGGAGCATCACGTCTCTTACCCCAAATCCATGTCCAAAGAAGCTGTGGCCATCTGCAAGGGGGTACGCGTCACACTACAATGCACCCACAGCCTATAATACTGGGTCTCATAGTGTAGTTTGCTAATAAATGACTTCATGGTCGCTGTGACTTTTTTGGTCAGATGACTTAAAGCTAGTCTACATGTATTCTATGATCAGACTATACTGACTGTTACGCCTGTAGCTATTGGAGCTCTGTTTAGACACAAAATACTGCTAAAAGTGCTGTTCAGGGTTCCCACAGTCATGGAAATCCATGGAAATTGAAAATGTAATTTTCCAGGTGTGGAAAAGAATGGAAACATGGAATTTTAGTGTCTCTTTCACTCAACTACAGCGTTCTGTTAAGTTCTCATGAGGCTATTATGATTATTTCTGAACATCTGCACCTTTTGTTTAAAAGAGACAACAATAAATGCTCTGACAGGATTTTGAATGTTCAAAAACTATAATCCCAAACCATAAGGTGAGTGGAAAGGGTTAACATTTCATATTTAGCTCTAAAAGTCTGAACAATTCTACACATGTAGGTGCTGTAAATGTATGGAAAAATCACTTTAGGTCATGAAAAAGTCATGGAAAAGTTTAGAAATTTTGTCAGGAGTGGAAACCCTGCTTGTTGTAGTTGTAGTTGTCGGTGTTCCAACCTCTACTACGAGCATAATGATACATTGCAGTGACACTGAGGATGTTCTACATTTATCTCTATGGTGGAATGTTCAGCAGTTATCATGGAGATTTAATAAAAATTCTAAATCTATTTAAGCAACACATTTTCAGGAGCCTGTGATCAGTACAAGAGTTTAATGGTGCAGTTTAGGTGTTGACAAACTAGAGAGATTAAATGAAAAACTGCTGGCTAAAACCCTATTCACACGGGATTAGTATTACCTGTGGACCTTTGGTGATTTGTAATAATTGTGGTGGATGCCTCAGATCTTAATTCCGTGCGAATGCGCCATGTCTGTAATTTGTAAAGTAAGAATTCCAGTACAAAGAAATGACTTACTATATTTTGCCAAACACAGACATCCAGTGATAATACTAGTCCCGTACAAATCTGCATCTCAGTTAGGAGTGTGCAAAAATATCAAAATATCGATATATTGTATCATTTAATGTGCTGATACAGTATGGATATCATGGGCTGCTGTATTGATATATTGCCAGGAGTATTTTTTGGTATATTTTACTACATTATTTAGTTACAGCGCTACAGTTTTGTTGCTTGTTTAGAGGAAGGAAACTCGTTTATGCGACACATTTGACATTTTCACTGTTTTGATGATTAAAATGTTTGTGTTTCATATGAACTTTGCACGAGAAGTGGTTTAACAAAGACTTTTAGTGTCACAACCATGATTTAGCATATATGTTTTACTGAAGTGCATCGAATCAATTTGAAATATATCGTATCAAATCAAAAGCTCACTGTATCGACATATGTATCGTATCGGAAGCTTCTTAATGGTACCCAGCCCTAATCTCAGTGTTGTTGTAACTGCGCCTTTTCTGTTTCTTTCTTTTCTTTCTGCATTCTTTTCTCTTTTAATTTCAGTCAGTGTCATTGAAATAGAGTAATTTACAGACTTCGCTTATCCTGTGCGAATGCACTGCAAGTAACACAGAGGTGGGGCGGTAATTTGCAAATTACCAAATGTCCCCAGGTTGTACTTCTCTCGTGCGAACATGGCTTAAGACTTGTTTATCAAATCAGCTTTCCTGTATTTTCCACCTAAATCAGCTCTTCATGGTTTGAATATTGATGTCATTTGGTGCAAAGTATCAATAAACTTCTACCACTACTACAAAGATGTGTTAATTGCCTTGTAAGATTTGTATGATGAATGAAAATAATGTGAGAGGGAAGCAGCTGTTAATGGAAACTACAGGTCTTTTTCTGTCCAATGTAAATGATCTAATAAAATGCCCTGTTCTGTTTGTTCAGCTGATGACAAAGCACCCCGCCAAGCGCTTGGGCTGCGGTCCCGAGGGCGAGCGAGACATCAGGGAGCACGCTTTCTTCCGCTTTATCGACTGGGTAAAACTTGAGAACAAAGAGGTGCAGCCGCCGTTCAAACCGAATGCTGTGAGTACATTTCTTTTCTCACATGTTCAAACGCTCATATATACAGTATTCCTATTAGACGGATTAGCCGAGGTAAGTTCCCATTATTCCCCCAAATCGTCCCATTTCCTGCCATTGGTCACTCCACTGGCAAGAACTGTCCCGATTGGTCAGTGCAGTCACCAATGATGAAGCTTGTAGCGCTCACTGGCTCACACATGGACCAATGGAAATCCACACTTTTGACTGTGAGGGATTTGATTGGTTGACAGCCTGTTTTAGTTTGTTTCTCTTTTTTCTCGTTTTTTCTCCCATCATGCCATCATACTCACCGCACCCATGCCTCCATTTTTCTCCCTCTCTCCTTTGCACAACAGTGTGGCCGTGAGGCGGAGAACTTTGATCGCTTTTTCACACGCCACCCTCCCGAGCTGACCCCCACAGATCAGGACGTTATTTTCAACCTGGACCAGAACGAGTTCCAAAACTTCTCATTTGTTAACCCCGAGTATGCCCAGCCAAGCCACTGACCACATAGGCCCAGCTCACACCAGTGTACGCTCTGTGGAAATCACTCCGACATGTGGAGATTCATAGCTGGAAAGAGCAATACCTTTTTGCTTTTGTCATGCGTCCAGTTGATACTTTGCAGCTGATGTCATCAACGTTCCCTGGGGGTGTGACGCTAACTGTAGGCACGGCTCTGTCTGAAGCTCTGAGCTTTATTTTAACACAATCTGACCAGAAAGAACTGACTTAGCTGGAACTACAACAGGTGAGATGATTTGTGCGGTTAAACAAATCTCTCTCAAATAACATCACAATCACAAGCTTTTCAGTTTTTCAGTTAGTCGCTCTTACCTTTTTGTTGAAAATCAAAACCTAAACAGGACCATCAATGCTTTTATTGATCACAGGCTCCTGAAAATGTGCTGTTTAAATCCATTTTGTATTTTGTCTTGAGTAGAGTGACCAGATGTTCCTCTTTACCCGGGACAGTCCCAGTTTTGAGCCCTGTGTCCCCTGTTCTAGCAGATTTATACAAAACCAGTGATTTGTCTCAGTTTTATACAAGAAATGTCCCAGATGTCGCTATTTTTTACCAATTTGATATCTACCAAAAGTAAAGAGAGGCATACACTGTCACTTGTTTCGATAAAATACAGAAAAGGTGCTTAAAAATGAAAATGTGACTATACTGTCACATGTCAGTCATGAATGGGCAAGTGTAGAACAATTTTCCTTAATCATGCACTCGTATCACAGTTTTACTATTATGAACCACCACAAACCGAGGGAGTCCCAGTTTTTAATTTTGAAAATCTGGTCACCCTAGTCTTGACTGTTAGACTGTTTTGCTAATGTGCACATTGTGTCACCATGATAACTCATGAACATTCCGCCATAGACATACATATAGAGCCCCCCCAGTGTGATGTCACTGCAAAGTATCAATTGTCTGTGTTAATTAACATAACTAAATCATGCCAAATTCTTGTTGTTAGAGATGGTTCATCTGTTAAGAATTAATTTGCATATAATGAAGTACTGTATGTTACAATGTCTGACTTCTGACTTATCTGTATGAACACACACACACACACACACGCACATGTTGACACTTAGCCTCAAAGCTAATCTTCAGTTCAGATCCTGATCATGCAGTCGCTGTAATCCCCACAGGAACATATCATGAGTAGAGGCTGTGTGTACAAGTGTTGATTTGACTTGTGTGGTAACGCATGCATGTTGTGCTGCTCCTATGCCCTGTTTTAGCAGACTACCTGTATGACTACCTGTCCTTTAACATATGAGGTTTACCTTTTAAACCTGGAATCATGTCATTTTTGTTTCTACATATTGACAAATCTAAATGTAATCTGTTCACATATTGCTAATATTCATACAGTGTAAGTGAAAAAAAACTGACATCTTTCTTTGCTACTTGCTTCAGTACTTTTCTGTTTTATAGGACCCATTAGTTCAGTGCTATGTCGTGGTGAGCTTCTCTCAAAGTATTTGCTGTTTGTTTTGAACCAGTCAGACTGTAAGTTGTAAATGCGGTGGTCTGACCTTTAGTGGTTTTAACTTAAAGCCGTTGTTTCTGTTTTCTGCATCCACCACACATTCTGCACTGTGTTTCACTATGGGACATATCTGTTCTGACGTACAGTTGTGGATCACCATGGTAACAAACTCCTGTCACGTGCCAAACTGTGATAAAGGGCAGTCAGGCTGTGCCATAGCAGCACATGTACATTCCACTGTAATGGTACATTCCTCCAAACATCAGCACAATCCTATTCATTCTATATATATGAACTGTTTGAGAAGATGTGTTTTATTGTGAGGAGGTATCTTTTGTAACTGTGAATCAATGCAGGATAGTTATCATGTGTCAAACCTTGTTCTCTGAGCTTGTATCAAATACCATATGTTGACGGAAAGACTAGTTTTGTCAAATAAGAGCTAACACCCTGATGGTAAGAAGCAATGATGGAATGATCATATTGAAAATAAATATATATTCAGTTATTAATTGAATGTATCTGTTGTGGTTGATTAACACAAGCTTTGGGAGGGTTTTATTTGACCTGCATGACTAAAGTGTCTCTGCTGTGTCTGGTCTGGCATCAAAGATATGTGTTTTAACCCAAGAATTAAAGGGAGGGTATGTAGAATCTGTATTTTAGATTTTATAAACATGACCTGTGTCTCCAGATATGAGGTAAGCTTGTTCAAATCAAATACAGCTTTTACTGATCACAACTCTGTCCTACAATAGCAAAAGAGCCTAACTCACCACAGTGTGAAACTGAGAAAAATGACTTCAAATTTTCTGTTTTGTCCAGACAAAAGTATAACAGGTAAGGCTCCCAAAATTTGACAACTAGTTGCTATTATGAAGAAATATTTGTATGTGAAAAATATTGAGCATGTGCCAAAAATAAGTCATGCAAAGACAAAAGGCAGAAACTGACATGATCATTATTTGCTTGATTTTGCCCAGACTTCCATCCAAGTGGCCATATTGGCTTGTCAAAGCCTGATCCCGTCAGATCTCAGAAGCTCAGCAAGGCCGGGTCTGGTTACTACTTGGATGGGAGACACTGGGAATTCCAGGTGCCACAGTGGGGTGCCAGTGGCAAAAACTGTCACACTTCACCCACATTGTGTAGTATGAAAGTGGTGTGTGTGTGTGTGTGTGAGTGATGGTGGTGGTCGGAGGGGCCGATGGCGCAGATTGACAGCCTCGCTTCTGTCAATCTGCCAGGGCAGCTGTGGCTACAATAGTAAGTATTAGTTTACAATAGTAGTTTACCACCAATGAATGTGGAGTGAATGAATAATGAACTGTGAACGCTTTGGGTATCTTGAAAGGCGCTATATAAATGCAATGATTAATTAAGTAATTCATTAATCCATTCTAAGAACACCTCACCAAGGTCCAGTCATCATGTGTTTGTTTGAAATTATTTAGAAGAGCTTTGGATTTCCTGTTTTGAGCTGATCAGGATCGTGCAGCCACACTTACTCACTTAGACAGTTTGACAGACACGTGACTTAGTAATAGTATAGTGTGTACAGTTATCCAGGCTGGCGCCACTTTGTGTCTCCGCTCAATTTCTTTTCTCTCCAGCAACTAGGTCAGGAATCAAAATGCATTAGACAGTTTGCAAAAAACCCGGAAGTGCAAGTTTTGAGCACCAGCCAATCAGTGAAGAGCTCAGTGTTGTCAGCGATTACCGAGATCAAACAAAGAGAATGTTTGTTGAATTTCATCAAGGGGAAAGACGTTATTGTCCGTCTTCCTACGGGATTTGGGAAAAGCTTAATATACCAGTTAGCCCTGTTAGTGGCGCTTTCCATAAGTGACTATCAAATAGCAGCGATTGGTTAAATGACAAAACGTGCCCGCCTCCTGTCGAGTGAACGAATTCTAACACTCGGGTCAGACGGTTTCTGCAAAGTGAAACAAAGTGAAACCGGCTGATGAATCAGACTAATGTACAGTACAAATAAATACACCAAATACTTCCACATTAAAGATCATTGAAGTATAACTGAATACAAAGGTTTATTTATTTACTGTGTTAAGACGATGTGCCAAGACCGCAACAGAAAGGAGGTCAGAGGTTGGATTTAAAAATGAAATATATTCATGAACTAAATCACAAACAAATCATACACAGTTTCTGCCTTTTGTCTTTGCACGAAAACTTATTTTTGGCTCATGATACAAAGGCAGAGAACACAAACTGCCAAAAAAGGGTCAAAGGTCAAGTTTGAGCTCAATATTTTTCACGATATTTATTCCTGTGATAAAGGAAGTCTCAAATAGAAACAAAATGAACTCAAGAACTAATTTTTGACCAAACACAATGTTACGCCATTGTGCCTTTGTAGGGCAGAATTGTGCTGTTGATTTATTCTTAATTACAAAAAACATTCAACCTGATGTCCAAGTTGTTTGTTATAATTTGTTGTTCATGTTCAAGGCCAATCATGAAGCTCAGTGAAGGCATCCTGGACCTTCTGAGCTTTTTAAATGAGATGTGAGGCCTGTTCACATAATGAAAATGAGAAAAAAAATGGATATGTCCTCTATAGATAAGTTAACGCCCAGGCAATTCTGTTTTTTTTTTTTTTTAAGGGCCTATATTACTCTATTTTCCGAGCTACGTTATTATGTTTCCTCATCACAAACATACCTGTAGTTTTGTTTCGTTTCATTCACAAACCCTGCAAATTTAAGCCGAGTTCTTCTCTCAAACAGAAAACACCCTGTACCACCTTGTGTTTTTACACTCCACACATCTTCACTAATTTCATTCCTGGAATTGCCGATCTCTCCTGAACTGAAGGTAAAACTCTGCTGTTGCTGAAAACTACTGCTTCATGACATCACAAGGTGGAACAGAGCATTTCGAGCATTTTTGGAGACGCAGACAACCTAATAACGCAGAATTACTCAAACATTTGTGAATGAAACAAAACGCTACACTGCAAATTTCTCTGATCTGGCCAAGATTTTTAAATTTATACCAAGTTATTCATGTTGTTTTCAGATTTATGATTTACTTACTAGTTCTGAGACGCTTCATTCTAGTCTAGAGGTAGTTTATTTTAAGATAACTTGTCAAGTAAAATGATCTTGCTGCATGGACAGTTCATTTCACTACTTTTAGGTCATTTTCTGATCAATTTAAGTGTTTATATCTTAAATTGTGGCCAAGCTTTTTTGCAGTGTGCTCCAGGAATATGTTTGATGAGGTCATAACATTCTAACCAGTCGATTTCACGTAATGTAGAATGTCTGAAATTGGTTAGAGCGCAATGTACATACCCTCCCTTTTAGACTGTGTGCACCACGTTCACTTAACACAAACGCTGTACAACATGGGCTAGTGCTTTTGAAACCCGGAGCAGTAGGAGTGGTCCCTGTGATGGCGTCTGATTCGGCCGGAGCCTGAGGAAGTGGAGGTAGGACCTGAATGCTACATGTGTGTGCTCCGTGTGTCCGCCTGCCTGCTGGGCTCACTGCTTCCCCCCTGCTGTCTGAACCCCTCTCCTGCTCTGGTCCGGGTCCTAGTCCTGGTTTGGTCCGCAGTCGGTCTGTCCTCTCGACTCTGTGACTCTGTGTTTGTGCAACAACATCTATCTACCGTACTTACATCTGGGATCTCCTCATCTTTTGAACTGTGAACTGTGTTTCTGGGCTTGTGTGTTGAAAATCAGATACTAATCGATACTAGGGATGCAACGATACAGTTTTCCCAGGATTCGATGCATATCTCGATACACGGGTCACGATATCGATCCAGTTTCCAATAAATAAATCCAATAAATACGTGTCTTTCCACTAAACAAGCAACAAAACTGTAGCACTGTAACAAAATAATTTGATAAACTATACCAAAAAAATACTCTAGGCAATATATCGATGGAGCAGCGCACAGTATCGATACCATATCGGCACATTAAACGATACGATATAGCAGCACAGCACGCGTGGACGGACTTGTGCATATCAACCAAACGTGTATCAAATTGTGACATTAGTATTGAACAATATTATATCGAATTTTACAGTTTTCCCACAATTCGATACATATCTCGATACACGGGTCACGATATCGGTCCAATTTCAATACGTATTAAGATGTGAAAAATCTCATGCAATTTTTTTCTGCTAATGAGTTTAATATAATAACACTGATGTTACGTAAACAACACATATATTACACAAAATACACTACAGCACAAGTACTATAAAGTTGTAGTTTATGTGTGAAGTCTTTTAGTTCATTTGGTTCAATGATTTACAGCATTTTTATTCAGTGGAAATAAAAACAGAGCTTTACTGCCGGTGACCCTGATGACGCACGAAATTCAGATGGGGGCAGGAAGTGTTTGGCTCCACTTCAAAACACAGCTCACTGGGTGACAGCGAGTACACTAAAAGTTTGAACGGGCTGCCACAGACCCACTATCGAGAAAAAAATAGGTTATGACTCGTACGATATGGAGAAGTTGGACTTTTCATACAATTTGGATGATTTTCACGGCCTTGAGACAATGGATATAATAAAATGATCTGGTGCTGCAAACCTCGTATTACACTGAGCCAAATAAAAGCCTTTAAAAGCCTGGAGGCACACAACTATTCAGAATTAAAATCACTCGCTGCGCTGGGATAATCTAACATAATGATTAAACAGGGTATAAAACACCAAATTACAACAATAAGACAATAAAATGAGCTCCATATAAAGCTCTTTGCGTGACAAGTTAGGAGCTATAATACAACAGTTACAGTCATTTACGATGCTTGTCTTTCTAAATAACTGCCCAAAAAAACTTTGTGTAATTTATTCATTAATATTTTCAAAGTGGTCGCTGCAAACTTGAGCATCGTATGTTTCCGCGCCTCCTGTTTTTAGCCGGAGATTGTCGATCCACTTTTTTCTGTAAGTTTTTTAAAAATAATTCTCTTGTGACACAACACTTTCGATACACAAAAAAAAAGTTTTATCTTTCTCCCAATTAGAGCAGTTGCAGCAAGCACAGACTGCACAGAATGCAGTCTGTGCGCTGAGTCAACGGAAGTAAACACGGTTTTGTGCATCTATCTACTTCTGCTTATGGTGACATCAACGTGACATCATCTGAATCCCAGCAATATTTTATAATATAGCCAGTGTGCTCTTAATATTGTAGGGGAGTTACACTGTCATACGTTTCTTTTTTTGATGATGATTTGATGTCTTTTCTTTTCCTCCCGAGTCTCTCCTCTCGCTGCGTTCACACAGACTCGTGTGTTGGTGCTGCACTTTCTGTCTCCAGCTGCAACAGCAGAGACAGACAGCAGCTCCTCCCACACTCACCTGCTCTTTTTAAACACACTGAGCTCAAATATCCACTTTCTAAACACTCAAACTACATAGAAATGTCTCAAAAGACAAGTTTTCTGAGGAAAACTTAGACAGAGTCTAAGAAAAAGGTTGCATACATCGCAAGTCGCGTCACGGGTGCATA